CTAAGTATCCCCAGGTTTCAGCATAGCTGCTCACATACTGATTTCTGCACATGCTCAGTACCTTGTATATACCAATCCTCTACTTAGGGAACACATGGCTTCAGCTCATTCATCTCCTTTTCTGGTGGCTATTGGGTCAGAGTTATCATCTCAGCCCCAGGGTCAGGGGAAACATTTGTGATTCATTCTGACCAAACTTCTCAGTATGTTTCCATGAATATATTCTGCATATAATCTCCAGGATCTATTTGTTTGTTTGTTTTTTTAATTAGAATTCCTGGTGTGAGAAGGACTGAATTTTCTGTTTTATATTTTTACCATCCATGGCTAAGTGTGCTGCCATAAACTTTATGAGATTTTGGTAAATATTAGCTGACAATTACTAGGGATATCTGTGAGCTTTTATGACTCCGCACAAGTTAATCAGAATAGTTAGTGCCTGCTGTGAGCATAACATGTAGCAGTTGGAGTAGGGAGTAAAGGGGGATGATTCTTGCTTAAGGACCTGAACTGTGGTTCGAGAGACAGTGTTTATAGCCAACAAGCAGCCGACCATGACACAAGAAACTACCTCACTGAAAGAACAAGAGGTGTTAGAGGCCTTTAGGGAAGGGGAGGTGAGAATGGAGACACATGTGCATGAAGGTGGAAGGCTTCTGGAGGAGGTAGGGACATCATAGAACCTTGTTATGTAGGAAGTGTTCAGTAGAGGTCAGAAGGCAGAGATTTCAGGTCAGTGAATAAACAGAAGCCAAGGCAGCATCAGAAATGAGCACAGCATGTTCACAGTCTAATGAGGAGATTGCTGACCACACTGAAGGTGAATGGTGGGAAAGGAAAATGTTGAAAGCTATTCAGAGGGGTTTTAGGTTGGATGAGGAAGGAAAGGACAATTTTTTACAGGGAAGTGACATGGTGTTTTCTTCATGGATAATTTGTGTGAGACTAGAGATGGGACATCTAGTTCCTGACTCAGGGCATGAAGTTGCTGAAGCCCTGGAATGGGAATCTGTAGAGTTTTTGTGAAATGCTATATATGCAGATAACCACATATAAAATGCCAGCTCTGTGCCTTTAAATCAGAGTATTTTGTATTATAAGGGTATGCCCACAATTGGAGTGTTGGCAACAAAACTTGTCTTTGCACATGTGGCCAATTTAGAAGTGAAACATCTTATTCTAACTTTTCTTCAAGTCTCATTGTTTCAGCTACTAAGTAACTGTGTGTGGTTTTGGATAAGTTACTTAACTCCTGAGTGTCTTGATTTTGTCTTCTTTAAAATGAGAGTATTCATAGTACCTATATCATAGGCTTATTATGGAAATAAATGAGTTAATACCTAATATAGCACCTATATTAGAATCTGGCACATAGAAATATGATTTATTTATATTATATATAACAATATTTGTGAATATTTAATTTACCCAAGTGATGGGTCAAAGCATCCAGAACTGTGTAGCATCAAGGCCCTCAAACAAACAAAAACTTGCTAGAGGTATTACAAAGATGGGATTGTTTATAAAGATGGAAAGTCAAAAATTTCAATTTCATAAACCTATTAACAATTAGAGTTTATAAACCAGATACTCAAGTCACCATTTATGTCACTTCTCATCTAAAACACCTCTCACTAACTCCTACTGAAAGATCTAGTCTTTGCTTCATCCATCCATCCATCCATCCTTTTTCTACCTTCTTTTTCCTGTAGCCTATATTGATATAGGCTCAAACACTCACATCTCTGCTTCTTTCCAAATATATCTCACTCTGCTCTCCAGTCTCTCTGTGCCTTCTTTGTAATTTCAAGAATACATTCTTCTTTGTTGATGCCCTATGAAAGTAGTGGGAATTTTGTTTTTGTTTTTGTTTGGCCTGGGGATTGAACTCAGGAGACTGGGTGCTGTTCCTGAGCTGTTTGCTTAAAGCTAGACCTCTACTGCTCGAGTCACAGCTCCATTTCTGGATTTTGGTGGTCTATTGAAAATAAAAGTCTAAGGGACTTTCCTGCCTATGCTTGCTTTGAACCACAATTCTTAGATCTCAGCTTCCTGAGTAGCTAGGATTTTAGGTATAAGCCACTGGCACCCAGCATGTTTTGTTTTTACTAATACTTTTAAGAGTAGTTCTAGGTTTACAGAAAAAATTACACAGTAAGTAGAGTTTCCATATGTCCCTTCTCCAACAGCTTTTGTTTTGGTCGGTCATGGGGCTTGAACTCTGGGCTCAGGCACTGTCCCTGCATTCTTCAGCACAAGGTGAGCGCTCTACCACTTGAGCCACAGCGCCACTTCCGGTTTTCTAGTGGTTTATTGGAAATAAGAATTTTATGGACTTTCCTGCCTGGGCTGGCTTTGAACCATGATCCTCAGATCTCAGCCTCCTGAGTAGCTAGGATTACAGGCATGAGCCACCGGAGCCTGGCTTCTCCAACAGCTTTATCTGTTATAAAACTTTGCATTACCATGGCAGATTTGCTAGTATTAATGAACTAGTATTGGTTATTAACTGAAGTCCATAGTTTACATTTATGTTTTCTTTGTGTTGAATGGGTCTTGATAAATGCATACTGTCATTACATTTGTCATTACAGTATCAAACAGTACAACACCAGTGCTCTAAAATTGCCCTGTATTCCACTTGCATCCTCTGCCTCTCCATTAGCTTTGTGTGTGTGCACACTCCCATACACACAAGTGTGTGTCAGTTGTAGGGTTTGAATTCAGGGCCTGGGCAGTGTCATTGAGGTTTTGTGCTCAAGGCTAGTGCTCTCACACTTTGAGTCCCACTTCCAGTTTTCTAGTGGTTAATTGGAGATAAGAGACTCATAGACTTTCCTGCCCAGACTGGCTTTGAACTGTAATCCTCAGATCTCAGCCTCTTGAGTAGCTAGGATTAAAGGTATGAGCCACCAGTACCCAGCTTTGCATTAGCTTTTAAGAATCAGTTACAATGCCTTCTTTTTTGTAAAAACCTCCCAGGTTCCCTCAACACTTGCATAATCTCTGATGCTTGCATAATACTTTCTCCGTACTTGTTATAGCTCCTATGTTCTGCATGGTAGAGAGCTGTATACACTAGGTTGTCTGTCTTCAAGAGAGGGCTTGCCACAGATTTGTCCTGATAACACCTAGCTCAGACAGTTGTCTTGAATAGGTGCCTTGTGAGTGCTGGCTGAGTGCAAGTGAATTGTGAACCAATATTAAGACAAGGTTTTTGTAGAAAAGGTCTCAAGGCAAGGCTGTATGTATACTTGGTATGTGAAAGTGACGGATGCTTGTGAATTTAGTGTGCACTTCATGGAAGGCTAGTTCTTTTGACAGGAACCGTCTTGTACCGCTTTAGCTTTTTGCTAAGAAGTAGCCAGCCATAGGTGAGTTGGCGCAGACCAACTTTACATTACTAGTAGGCCAGCTGGCGATTTTTCCAACCTCTCTAGAAAAAAACAAATAACAAAAACCAACAAAACAAAAAAAGTGAAAAAAGACCAAGAGCTTGTTTGTTTTCATCCTTCCAGGTCAGACACCCTTCTGTGTGTGTGTGTGTGTGTGTGTGTGTGTGACCCCTGGAGAGCCTACTGTCTGGGCCCTGCTCACTCTTCCCAGGTGCTCTCCAACAACTGAGAATCCCCAGGGATCCCATAAACACTGATTTTCTTAATACACACTGAGCTTTTTACTTTAAAGACACTGTTCTCAAACGTTCTAAAAAAACGCTGTAGGAACAAACAGATCAGAACAAAGGCAAATAAATCGAATCCTGTGAAGTAACAAAGTAGGCGCCCTTCTCTAACAGCCAGCACAAAGCTAAATGAAAAATATCAGTCATCCACTAGATACTGTATTTTCCCCTCCAGACCGTTTGCAAACTTCCCCCCACCCCACGTAGGAGAAGCTAAGGCATGAAATAAACCACTCAGCTCCAGGACCCGAGTCAACAGCAAGGTCCCTTGCTCTAAGTGACACTAGCGGTTTGCAAGACTTAAGTCTTTTACTCCCTGGTACCTGCCTCCAAACGTAAGGAAAGGTGGTGATGGGAGAGCGGGAGGTGCCAGCCCAGCCGCCCCCTCGCTGCCCCAGGATCTCCCGTCGGTGCCAGACTCCGAGTTGGGCGGGGAGGGGGGCGCTCCGGAAGCTGGGTTGGAGCCCAGGGTAGTTACCTGGGACAGTGAGTGTTCTGCGGAGAGCAGGGCTTCTCGGTTTCCCTCAGCCACAGCTGGAGGGGTAGGGGGAGCATTAAGAAGATGCCGCCTGGCTCCGGAGCAGGAATGGGTCCAGGTGGAGCCCGCCCGGGGTGCACCTGAGTACCGCCGCGAGGGTCGCACGCTAGCACCTGTGCTTCCAGGGGGACGGAGCGTCCTACAGCTGAGCCCCGAGGAAGGCCCGGCCCCCGGCAGCCCGAGAGCCCCAGCCCCGAAGCCCGGGGAGGAGGAGCGGTTAATCCGCACCCCGCCGCCGCCCCAGCCTGCGCGGAGGCCTCCGGCCTCTCGGGGGGCGGGGGGGGACAC